CAAATGTACAAAGTGTGTACAAAATTGTGTACAACAAGAAGAGTTGAAATTTGAATTAGTTCACTATTCGGAGTATGAATTAAATAGAGGTTCTAACCTAGCCAACTATAACAAGTCACATGTTTATCCTTTTGTCTTTATCTTATAACTACAAGTCATTATATCTTATACTAACCTCTGCCAACCCATTATCCAAATATTTACTCATAAGTTTATGGGAAAGTTCTTTGAATGAACAAATTTTAGAATTCCAAAATAAGACTACTAAGAAACATGTTTTTCTTTAAGAAAAATAGAAGTAACATGAAATGTCATGTTAGAGTCATTGCTGCCAAATAGTTACCGTACTAGACATTGACATGACAGTATTTACCGCCATTAATGACAATATTTTTCAATCATGACAGTAATGAGTCATATTTCGGACGAAAACAAAACAATCTTATTTTGGAATTCAAAACATGTTTACTCTATTAAGGGCAATTTCCCTAAGTTTAAATGAAATAATTGATTGTTTCTTAGATTCAACCCAAATCCAAACATGTGTGAGCCAATGGACTAATCAATCTCACTTTACTTTATACTTGACCAGAAATTAGAAAAAGCAAAACATACCACTGCTGATTCTGGAATTGGTGATGGATATATGATTAGAGGAGTGAATGTGAATGCCATCAGTGTTGGGACTATCTCCTGGAGACTCTATTCTTATATTGTCAACTCTGAACCCATTGCATCCAATGAGGAGTACATGAGATTGTGGGCTGTTGGTCATCAAAATATTGCCTAGGAACCCTTCATTGCATGATACAAACTTCAAAGCCTGTCATATACGGAGTACATATTTATACTACTTGGCTAAGTTAGTTTATTTTGTAGATTGTTAATTTTTAGTTCAACAAGATCAGTTGAAATCATTGGAAGTAGACTACTATACATTTGTTCAAAAAAGAGTTCAAATTTAGCCATAAAGATCCACACGAGACGAAAGACGAGTTTACAAGACAAAAGATTCAAATCAGCTAGATTAGACGAATTCAAAATGATTCACACAGGCAAGATCTTAAAAAAGCAATGAGATCACATTTTTCAAGCAAAAAATCAACTACATGTATCTATTTAGTGAAACTATAGGGTGAACTGAACTATATTGAAATACATTTTAAAAATGTAGGTACTTTAATTAATAAATTAAAGGACATGATATTCAAATGATAATATTATAAGCGATCCTTTAAACTATTGGAAAACATGCAGTCCATCAGGTTGTAGACTTGTAGTGTTGTACTTACGGTTGGGGCCAAATCTTTGCACCCTTCCTGCAGAAAAACACAAACAATTAAACAGTTAGATTCATCTTTTACCGTCCCCATCTACCCCAATTTGAAAATGATCACTTGCATGCCAATTATAAGAGCTAATCAATTAATTCTGTTGAAATTTATGAAGTTCTTGCTGAAGTGATTTGATTGACTGATTCCGCTGATTTATAAAAATATTATATTTCAAATGTTCTTTATTACTAGAATAAACAAAAACTTATATGAAAAAATAACTTGAATGATCCTCCACACCAACTTCAGACAATATAACCAGAAAGTAACTTCAACATTATTTTTTCTTATTATTACACAATTTAGCGTACGAAATCAAAATTACGTGTTTGATGAAAAAGTTTGATGATAAGTCTGATTACCGGAAAAATAAAGTGCCAAACGGGCTCTAAATGGTAAATTTCTTAGTAAGTTAAATAATACAAAATATAAGATTTATCGGTGAATAGTGTACTTTTTACCATTAAAAATACAGTTTTTACTTGACAAACTAGATCAAACTTAAACAAATTACACCAGACCTTGACATTGTAAAATACACATAAACTAAACAACTAACACACCCGACTATTCCAGATCATACCCGAAAATTTCAGTCCACTTAAAAATTATCTTACGGAGTATATTTTAATACAAGATCTTAAATGCACTTATTTACTGAGAATAAATTGCGAATTTCGTATTCAAAATAACTTTTAGAGTTTATCTAAACTTTACAATTAAAAAAGCAAAAATGTGTGGTGTGTACTGTGTACCAGGTTTGGATGATCTCTGCAAGATTGATCCCACCAAGCCTTTCCTTGTCCATCAATTGCTCCTGACCCATAAACCTCAAGTCCGGTAACGTCCTCGAATGCCATCCATTGGCTTTCATCTCTTCCTTCCCATATCCTTGGGGAAATGGGTGCTATTATCGTTCCCAATATCTATAATAATTTAGGTATTTGTTACCAAAAATTCAAGTCACATATTATAGGATAGTACTCTCTCCGTTTCTGAAACAAGTTCCACCTTTCCTTTTCGGGCAGATTCAAAATTAAGTTCCACTTTCAAACATTTCCTTATTTGGCAAATTATCTACATCAAAACAGTGTCAAACAGTGCCAAACAGTGTTCAAACAGTGCCAAACAGTGCACTCCACAGTAAAGTCAAATTTATTTTCTTAATATGTGTGAGGTCAAATGTGGAACTTGTTTCAGAAACGGATGGAGTATATTTTATGCTTCGAAATCAGTCTCACTTTAGAAATTAAAAGTTATCTTTTTAAAAAATGGTAATGTGTGCGTATACTTAAGAACCCTAATAATACCCCTTATAAAGTGTTAATTATCAACTACTCCTCTTTTCAGGTCTTATCATGACATCAGAGTCAAATCGATTCATAACCTTAGTGTTGGCCTATAAAAAATAAAGACATAATTATAAAAAATGACAATGAAAAAAAGTAATTATCCTAAATAGGACTAATACTAAACTAAAATGCACAAATAGGACCTTAAGTTTCTAATTCCCTAAATAGGACTAAAGATTATCATTATGCCCTCTTATATAATAAAATGAAAACCCTAGGTTGTGATCAATCCATCTCACGTCTCTCTTCTTCGCTACTCAGCTCGCATTTGCGCCTCACCATGAAGCTCTGGCTCTATTGTTGGCACTGCCGCTAGTTATCCATCGCCGCCACTGTCTCTATTTGCCGCCTATCTACGCCGCATCTTCCTTCACCATCGTCGTCGATTCAAGATTTGTAGGTATCTTCTTCTTCTCCATCATCATCTTCTTCTTTCTTCTTCTTCTCATCCATCTCCTCCTCCTTCTTTTTCCTCTGATTTTCATCTAGAAATTCAGATTTTGTTCTTGAATTTTGTTATTTCTGGAAGAAACTTTTCTGATTTCATTAAATTTTTGAGCTTTTGCATCAATTTTCTGATTTTGGACATTGTTTTCGTAGTTATGTTTTGTGATTCCATCAAATTTCCAATTTCAATTAAAACTCCGAGTTCTCGATTTTGAATATGTGGATTCGTGTTTTGCCAAATTCTTTGCATTTTTGTGAAATACTTACAATTATGTTTTGACTATTTTTTTGTGGCATCGATTTAAAAATATGTCATCTTTTATGGCAGATTTGATGATTGCACAATGGCAAAAAGAAATCTTTTTGTTTGGATAAACTGCCAAGTCTAATGAAAAAACTTATCATTGCCACGCTCATTTTTGTTCGAACAATCTTTCTGATTTTTGTTAGTCGCCCTTTGTGTTTTGATTTTTTATTTCGTTAAATTTTAAATTGCGTTTTAAAATATGATTTTCTGGTTTTTATATTGTGTGCATCTTTTACCAAATTTTTGGCATGTTTTGCTTAATTTATGGCAGAAAAATGTTTCTTTTTATACCAATTTAAATTTTTTGCCAACTTCATGACATATTTGGTAATTATATCGCTGACACCGGCTTGGTAGTGGTGGTGCTATGATTTGCGGCTACGACAGCACTGGTTTGGTGGCGGAAACGGCGGAGGGCGGCAGCGACGGTGGGAGGCAGCCGCATTTTTGGCTCAAGGCAGCGGCAGTAGTTTGGAACTGGACGTGCATCTAGGGTTTTAAAAAGGAATTTTTTATTATTTATTTTTATGAACAAATATGTTTAGAATTTTAGTAAGGGTAATTTTGTCAAACCAATGCATTTTTGATCCTATGAAACATGGAAGTCCTATTTGTGCATTTACCGATTGTTTTAGTCCTATTTAGGGAATTAACTCAATGAAAACCCAATGAAAAGTGAATGATGCCTCGATCCAGACAAATTGTGTGATCGTGAGAAGGGGAATTAAAATCTCACACTGGTAGATTATGATATTATAAGGTGCTATATTAAGATCACAAGTTACTCTTCTATTAAATTAACGTTTTAGGATTGAATATAATATTAGGTCTTAACATAGAGGTTATCTCTTGAATAGAAGAAGAACATCGAATATTTTATGGAGGTTGTCCCTTGTACTAAAGAAGAAGATCGAATATTTTCTCTAATAACATTTAGAGAAAATTACCCACCATATGACTAAAACAATATGTATTTCTCAATATATGACTCTACAGTTATTATTCCCAATATATGACTTACTTATTATCTTACATGCATGACCGTTCCTTTTTTTTTAATATTTCAACGGTTGCCTCTATATTACGATTTACGTATATGAAGCATTTATTTGTTCCTAAAAATAAGGAATTAATTTAATATTGTAACCGCTTCCTTAATTATTAGAATGTACTCGTACTTTTATGTTTTGGAACCCACGAAGCTAGAATTCTCTTCCTAATAATACAGTAATACCTACATGTCAACTAAAGTTATTGTCACTGTGCCATTTACTGCTCTCTTGCACAATTATTGTCCTTTTACACATTTATTTCCCTTTTCTCTTTTACACACTTCCTTAATTTGATATATGTCTAGAATTCTCTTCATAATGGTACTATTATTGTTATTTCCCTAATCATAGCATTTGATCCATGTGTCCATGATTCTAATGATATGCGTAGTCATACCACACATAACAAAACATAGTTAGTCATACATTAGGGAAACGCTCGTCTTTTAGTAATATCTACATATTCAACCCTAACATTTATAGTGGGTTGAAGGCTTGTGCAGGGTTCATCGAGGGTGCCCTTGGACTAAAGAAGAACATCAAATATTTTCTTCAATTCCATAGGAGAAGTAGTTCAGAATCTTAGGGATCCCAAATATGGATTTTAAAGGAATTTAGATTTTTAAAGAATCCTTTCAAATCGAGTATCCTCATTCCATGAATTTCTATTTTTTTTTTGTTTGAGCTGATTTTGATGAATTTCATATGAAAAATAATGCTCAAACCATACCACACATTGTTTCAAGCTAGCCCCTCGAGTTCGCAACTTCGACCACTCCTCCCGTCCTCCGGCTACAGGTATTTCACTTCTCTCTTCTCACAAGTTTATCTACTTTAATATCTCTACCTTCCATTGAAATCATTGAATTCCATATGATTGTGTAAAATAGAATTCCATAAGAATTTCATGGATTCTATAGAATTCTATTAAAATCCATTGAATCTACGACCCGTTAAAACCATTTATTACTTCATAAAATACTTTATTACTTCATAATTTTTTGGTGTATGACTTCAACATCTCTTCTCACGATCAGACACTTCGTCTCGATCGTACTACCATTCACTTTTTCATGGATTTATCATTGTTATTTTATACATCGTCATTTTTTCATAGAGGTCCACACCATGCTTGATCATGAATCAATCTATCTTTGATACCATATTAAGATGTGATTCCATCTTAAAAGGATAATATGATAGAATGAGTAGTTAAAAGGAGAAAATTTCATTTTGGAACACTTAAAAGGAGAAATGAAAACTTATGGAATATCAAGCGAGCGTTGAATGGACTAATACTTTAGAGTCAACCGTTCAATGTGAAAACGAATAATTATAATTACCGTACGTCCTGCTAACTACCACACTATGTTTGAGCATTAATGATATGAAAAAAGAATGTAATTTTCTCTAAATATGAACTAAGTACCACATTATCTTCTCTTATTTATAGGAAAATACAAACGTTTCTCTTGTTTGAAACAATTTGTTCAAAAACGTTTTTGTTTGGCATCCCAATATTAAAAAATTCATAAAAACATCCCGATAACCCTAGTATATAAAAGATGAATATTTCTTCAAAAATATTCATAATCATTAATACTTGAGTATAGCTCGAAAGACTATGGTTAAAATTATAAGTATTTGCCGGATAAGGATCAAATCAAAGAATTGAAGGAAAATAATAAACAGTGTGGAAAATTTTAAATTGATGTTTTCCCGTCCCAATCTTTAGTTCTTGAAATAATTACATAAATATGGTTAGAATGAAGGATGTTTACAAAATGTGACTAGTGACCAGAGAGAATAATAATGAAATCAAAGTAACTTATGTTCAATTTTTAAATTTAAATTACCATGACATTACATTGTCGTAATTATTAGTCATATTTGTGTAAATAAGTTTTTTTTTGTGAAAAAACGCACTAGTTCTTGTACCCAAAATATGTTCTTATTTTGAAACCGATGGAATATTATTGATGGGTTTCATATCATACCAGAAAATGAATTTGGTTGGAATTGCAAGGGCCTCTAAAAGTGATTGGGTGGAGCAAGAACTTGTAGTTTTGAGGAACTGTGAGCAGGGGATATCCTTCGCTTGATGAACATGCATCTTTCCACGTATTCAAAAATGCCTGTCAAAATACAATATTCAATTCAAGAAATACATCATTACAGACATTTATAAAACTGATAAAAACTGAAAAAGCACTAAAAGTATATTAACGTCTTTTAAACTCATTTTACATTTTAGCACACAATAAATCCTTAATATTACGAATATATTTGTATAATTTTAATGAATGACATTGCATCACATATTAATAAAGAAAAGAAACTCTATAAAAGTAAAATGTGGACATAGTTCATAAGTCATAACAAAAAAAGTATGTTTCATATTCAAAATAAAAAAGGACTTATTTATTCCAATCAAAGAATAAAATTAAAAAAACTTCCAACACATGATGTAATATTTTGATAATTTGATACGTCACTGCAAAAAAATTACAGATTTGACACGAATTTAGTATGGATTGACCGATCCCTGTCAAATCCTCTATGAAATTTTCTGATTTCCCACCGAAAAATTCTGTCAATTCGGTGTTTTTTTTGCAGTGGGTACCCTTACTTGGAGAAATGTGTCAGGTTTTAATTTATTCAGGTTTAGGAGATTTTCTTTTCTTTTTGTATAAAAAAAGCCAAGAATAATTAAGGATGAATAATACCTGTGAATCATCTCTATTCCCATCACCAATGGCTCCATAATCCAGGACACTGAAACTGCTTCTGGAAGGGCCATTAACACTTTGGCAGGCAGTTCTTGAAGAAATGAAGCCAATAATGAAAATTATAACAAAATGAATCTGGCAAACAAACAAACAAACAAGAACGAGTTGTTGATTTAAAAAGAAAGCAAATGAAATTTGAAGAATATATTTACAAATGGTTTATGTATGGACAAGATAGAGTTCAATTAATACTCTCTGGCAATAAGCTGCAATTAAGTAGATGAATGGCCAGAAAAGAAAAAGAGTAATCTAATTACCATGGTACATGAATCGCAAAAGCAAAACACGAGAAACGGCAGTACATCTGCACCTATTTATAAATGTACGGCCAGTCCATTAATTAATCTCTGATTATAGTTCTATTAATTATAATTACAGTAGTTCATTACTCATTAATTAAAATATGAGAGAGAGAGAAAGTTAATCATCAGGAATCATCCGGTTTTTTATAAGGAGTATGTCGTATTCATGTGATATAGGATAGGTTGAAAGGCCAAATATGTACCTTGTCATCACATCACTCTCATAGTCTCACACTCTCAAAAAGGAGATCGCGTGTTCGAATTATATCACAGTTCAAAGATGTTAGTCTTGACATAGAACAAATAAAGTTTAAGAAGATTTCAAAGAAAAAAAGATAAGTTGAGTGATTCTCGATTAATGTTTAAAAGTTTTTTTCTAGAATGAAACAACAAAATAGTCACTAATACATGCATGGGTGATGGGACTATGAGAGTGTGCGTGTGTCTTGATCTGAGAAGAAGTTATTTATTTTATATACTTCCTTCGTCCGGGTCATTTCTTCTAAGTTTGACTTGGTTCGCAAATTTAGAAAGTGGGGAATAAAGTGAAAACTGTATGGTTGTAGTTGTGTAGGAAAAATGTGAATGAATGTGAACCATATATTTTTTCCAAAAGTGGAAGTTGGAAGAATTAATTGGGACGACCCAAAAAGGAAAGTTGGAAAAAATGACCGGGACGGAATGAGTATTAGACTTTGGCACTTTGCAAGAAAATTAAAACAAAAATGATGTTTGTACTCACTCTTATACGCACTTTTGTACTCACTCATATTTTTGAAAGCTCTTTTTTGTCCGTGAACATCGATTCACACACAATATTTTACACAAACAAAGTATTGTATGTGAACCGAGTTCACTGACAAAAAAAAACTTTACAAACATGGTGGGTATAAGGTGAGTACATCAAGCATTGTTGAAAATAAAATGATCGATTAATTCAAAAAATGACAATTTTTCAAAAGAATTACGTAGTACCCGGAGACCGGAATATAATTTTTGAACAGTAAAATTCAAAAGTTTTGATAAAATAAAAAGTAATAACACAGTACTTTTTACTACCTCCATCCCCCTATTATTGTCCTATTGCGATTTACGATGCATGACCGACGATAAAACAAGTCGATCCCTGTCCGCACTCAAATTATTTTTAGAAAAAAATAATTACTGAATCTGCATTAAAAGCTTTACAAAGTCGCAAAAACCAAAACCAAGTTTGATAAAAATTTGATATATAAAGTAAGAGGTTAAAAGTGATTTGTGTTGATCAAGTGAATAGGAACTGAGACAATAATAGGAGGACGAAGGGAGTAGTATATTAGGCGTGTTTATAAAATGTCATCGAAAGATGGAGAAACAGTTTTTAAGCACTCAGAACCTGTTCTCTTCGTCTTAATCTTATTACTTATTCCTTATTCTTATTTTATTCAGATCAGATCAGATCAGAAAAATTCAGATCAGATCAGATCAGAAAGATTCAGATCAGATCAGATCAGATCAAATCAAAAACATTCAGATCAGATCAGAAGCATTCAGATCAGATCAGAAGCATTCAGATCAGATCAGAAGCATTCAGATCAGATCAGAAGCATTCAATCAGATCAGATTAGTTCAGAAATATTCATACCAAATTGGAAGCATCATATTATTATCTATTATATATATTACTATTACTATTACTATTGTTATTGTTATTTTTTTATAATTATTATTATTATTGTTAATATAATTACTATTATCATTACTATTATATAATACTATTATTATTTATTGTTACTATTATATATTCCAATTTCACATTTATATTTATTTTTTTTTGCAATTGAGTTGTAAGAACAAACTCATGTGTTTGTCATTTCTACGTTACTCTCATTATGTGCAAGAATTTTATATTGCTTCGTTTATTGTCAAATATTTATATTATTATTAAAAAGGTTATTAATATCACTACTACTACTTAAATTATTATTATTATTATTATTATTATTACTACTACTATTATTATTATTATTATTATTATTATTATTATTATATATATTATTATTATTGTTATGGAGTATTATTTTTATTATACTTGTTAAATAATAATAATAGTTATTGATGGATAGTCTACCCGGGGGGTATATATCCGAGGGGTTATTGCTGAGAATAACTTAGAGAGAAGTCAGAGCACAAGTAAATGTAGAGAGAGAGAATGTATTATAAATGTGGAGCGTTTTCAGCGTGGTTACAAATGGCGAAATGTGGTGCTATTTATAGTAGCAATAAATGCCGGACAGGGACACGTGTCAAGCGCCTATTGGCCGAGGGGTCACCTCAACTGGTTGGCGTTGGCAGCCGCATGTGGCCGCATTTAATGCGGCTGTTGGATGGGACGCCTGTACAGGGTACGGTGATCTGTACGCATGTGAGGCGGATATCATGTCGGGAGAGGTGCCCTCGGCTGCAGAGGACTAGCCGAGGGCTCTTAGTGCCGAGGACCCCTGAGTGTCGAGGGCTCCAGGTGCCGAGGGCTACTGTTTTCGCCGTTTTCTCCCAGTTCCTCTGTTTGTTCGAAATATCCATGCTGTGATAGTTTGGAGCCTTCGGCCAGGGGCCGAAGGCACCCCTGGTGCGTATTGCGGGTTGCTTGGTACTCTGGGCGCCGTGATTTGGGCCTGTTGGGCCTTCTGGGCCTGTTGGGCCTCTATTGGAGTAGTAGGAGTCTGTGGGTCGGATGTTCCCGGGCCATATACTCCATCAGGAGTCCCTCACTCCTTTTGCCGAAAGGTATTTGAGGGAAAAAGAGTAATTTTTGCTTGCCCTTTGATGTTGTCCTGTCGTGACCTCTGAAGTTGGTGAGGAGTTGTTGCTTTTATGTCCCTGCCGAAGGCAGTCCCTCAGTTACCCACATGTCGGGACTTGAGGGCTTGCTTTGTCGTTTGTTGGAATTTCACTAATTTTGTAATTTAATGATTTTCCCGAGGGGGTTCTCCAGTCCCCCACTCCTTGAGGCACTTGTAAAGTGGTAAAAAGGAGTAGAGTAGTTGCGTTGCTGTTGTGGGCCGAAGGCTGACGCTTTTCGTTTCATTTTGGGGGGATGCCTCGTTAAAAACCTCATTAGGAAAAACCCTGGGGGAAAAAATCCTAATGGGGGAAAAAGAGTGCACCGAATTCCCCCAACGATGAATCGAAAATGTGAAACCTTGGTCAAAAATCGAGAATAACGGTAATGTCGAAGGTTCTTCTTTTTCTGAGGCCTCATGTGTTGAGTAGCCGAAGGCTTGCTGTTGATGTCCTGGGGGTGCCGAAGGGGAGCCCCTCAATCTGGGGATCGAGGGCCTGATGGATGAGGGCAGCAGTGGAGTTGTTATCGGGGGGTCCACTGTTTGTTGATTAGTTGGTGATGAAGATACCCGAGGGCTCCCATTACCTGCGTGCCGTAGGCTATCCGTCAATGAGGCAACTCCCCGGGGGCTACCTGGTTTTACAGTGCTGAGGGGGAATCCCCGAGGGGTGCCCTGATATGAAGCCTTGGGTTTCTGAAGGAGTGATCCCGAAGGCGTCTGTTATGTGCTGTGTGGGGCACAACCCGGGGGCGCTTCTGGGTAAGTGTACCCGGAGGCTCTCCTTGATGAAGTGGAGTGAAGTAGAAAACCCGGGGGCTTCCAGAATATAGCCGTTGGAAATATAGCCGTTGGAATATGTAACGTCAGGTTTATAGCCGTTGGGGGGGGGGGGGGGGGGGGGGGTACACGTGGAGTGTAGCCGTTGGCTGCTCGTGGGCGGGCGTCACCGGTTGGGTGAAACGACGGTGTGTAATGATGACGCTTGGCCGGAGGTCCAGTTTTTGGGCCCAAGCCCGGATCCTGGAGTCTATAAATACCCCAAGCCAATGCCATTCCTTCCTTACGCATCCAACATCCTTAGCGAAGCTCTGCCAAAAATTCTAGAGAGAGAAACTCAAGCCTTCGGTCAAAACTCAGCTTTCAAGGTCAGTTCCCCCCTGCCTTTCTCCTTCTAGTTTAGCTGTGGCTTGGCCCTTAGGTTAGGAGATAGAATTCTCTAGAAAACCTTAGTTCCCCCGAACCCTCGAGCTAGAGTTAGAATGTCGTCCCAGAGTGATTCTCAATACATCTCGAGGACCCCCTCGGTTCAGGACGAAAGCATCTCCAACGTGGAGTCCAGTAGCAGTCAGCCCTCGGGTGGTGGTGATGCAGCTCTCGCCACCGAGATGCAGAAGGATTTGGTGGCCGAGGTCGAGGCGGAGGAGTTCGAGCGAACCGCCGAAGATGAGGAGTTAGCCCTCGCCGTCCAAGTTGCTGAGGAGGAAGAGGAAAAGGAGAGGGCGAAGGTTACTATCGCTGTTCTTCCCCCCGGGGTTCTGGGGAAGCAAGTAGCTCGAGGCCACTGGACCCGACGCCTTTAAGTGTAGCCCCCGGGAAGAAGAGGAGGAAGACGAAGGCTGGCCCCCAGAAGAAAGTAAAGGCCGTCCGATCAAGGGGGGCCAGTTGATCTGCCGGAGGGTCACTCCTTCCTGGACACCGCCGCTCTGGAGATTAAGTCCCAAGCTGACAAGGCGGACATCTACATCACCCAGTTGCATGTAGGGCCCTCGGCCGTAGTAGTCGAGCCAGGTCCTGATGACGTGTTGTCCCGGCCCCCCGAGGGATGTATAGCCGTGCACGTGCTCTCGATTTCAATGGGCCTCCGGTTCACTCTCCATCCGTTCCTCCGGGAGTACCTGAGGTACACTGGCCTGGTTCCCTGTCAATTGACCCCCAATAGCCACTCATACATAGCTGGGTTCGTGAACCTGTGCAAACTCCGGGGGGTTAAACCGAGCTTGGAGTTATTCTTCCAAAGTTTTAACCTATGCCAGGGGGCCATACTAATGCCGAGGGCTATGCAAACTTACAGCAGATAGCCCAGTTCAAACTGTTCACCGAGGCCCCTTCTTCCAACAAAGGGTGGAGAGAGCGATGGTGCTATATCAGACTGACCGACAGCCCTTTCCCGAGGGAGTTGCGGAATCGCTTTCGGCGCCACGTGAAGGTCAAGAGTGCCGCCCTCGAGGAGGATGGCCTGAAGATTGCCAAGATTCCAGAGGGTCGGGAAAAGAACATAACCATCAAGGAGTGCATCCTCGAGGAAGACCTATATGCCCTCGGATTCCTGAGGTATCGGTTCATTGGGGAGACCGATGAGAAGTATCCCCTCTATGATAAAGCCTTCGTGGGAGCAGGAGGTAGTGGCCGAGGGCTTTAGATTTTTGTACTTAGATTTTTTTTTTTGTCATGTTTGTCATCGTGTCTCTGACCCCTCGGTTCTAACCTTTTAACTTGTTGTTGTCGTTCTTTGCAGGTAGCAAGATGAATGCCAATGCCCTGTTTGCAAAGAGGAAGGGCAAGACCCAGGCAAAGGAGAAGGGGCCCTCGAGCCAGAAGCCAGCCGATGCGTTTTTCCCGAAGGTCGTAGAGCCTTCTGCTGGGGATTTCCATGCTGCTGAGGGGACCGGGGGGTCGAAGGCCGAGGCGGCCGCGAAGAAGAAGAGGGGTGGTAAGGGGGTGGAGCCCCCTACCAAGAAGCAGAAAGCCGCCGGGGGCGATGTTGAGGGGGCGGCCCCCCTCATAGTTATTGATGACATGCCCTCCACTGATGGGCCTCTGGCCTCGGTCACCCCGAAGGCTCCGGTGAATCTCCCCCCGGAGGAATTACCCCGGGAGATCCGTCAACTCTCCTTTGCCCCCGGTGCTTCACTGATGCACGGTACTGCCGAGCCGAGGGCCTTCCTACGGGGCATCACCTCGAAGATGGACAGGGAAGTCTTCGAGACATACGACGATGATGCCCTCGAGAACAGGATCCTCCGGTCCTCTCTCACTGTAAGTATCTGCTTCCTGTCTCCTTTTCTTATCAATTTAGTGTTTTTTCCGGGGAATGATCTAACTCCTTTGATCATTGTTTGCAGGCCTGCATAGCCCTCGGGGAACAGGCCCGGAGGCGTGAGGAACGGCGCCTTCACGAGGCCGAGCAAGACAAGAAGATGGAGGGGCTGATTCGCAAGAACTCTGAAGCGATGAAGCATGCTGCACAGCTGGAGGAGGCCCTCTGGGAGGCGAAGGCGGCGGAGGAGAAAGCCAAGGCCGATGGCATAGCCGAGGGCGAGGCAGAGGCCGAGAGGGTTGCCGCCGAGGCGGCGAAGAAAGCTGCCGATGAAGCCCAAACCGCCAAGGAGGGAGCCGTGGCCAAGGCCCGAGGGGAGGCAGTTGCTGAGTTCCTTGCCGAGGGCTGGAGGACCGAGGGCCACAAGGAGTGGGTGGCCTCCGTGGTGGCGGCCTCGGTGGATGCTTGGGTAGAAGGCCCCGGGGTTGACTGGCTGACAGATAGGGGCGACGCCTACTACCAGGGGGGTGAATTCTTTACCCAGCATTTGATTTACCAGAGGCTCGCCAGGCACTTTGGCGTATCCCTCGATCAATTTGACCCCTCAGCATACAGCCTCCCTCCATTACAACCAGATGTGAGAGTTCCCCTCCCCCCGGGCGAAGAGCGGCCGACGATATACGACTCTGTGATGATGGGGGGTGATGGGGGCGGAGCCGCCGCAGGTGATGCTGCTGGGGAAGAAGTCTCCTCCAAGGCCGCCGTAGAAGATGCCCCCGGGGATAATGATGCTGAGGCCACAGAGAAGACTTGTAATTAGAAATTTCTGAACATACTCTTGTAATGAACACCATTGATCCTTCGGCTTCAGCCTGTTTGTAACAATTACATTTACTCCTTTTTTTGATGATTGAATGATTGCCTTCGGGCTTTGTATATATGGCTTGTTTTCTTTAATTCATTTCTTCTTGAATGTATGCCTTCGTCTCATTTTGGATGTATGCCTTTGCTCCTTTGAATGTATGTTTTAGGACTTAGAATATTTTCTGATTGTAGCTTGCCCTTGGAAGCCTTCGGTAGTTGGGGCACCCTCTGATGGATATACAACCGAGGGTTCAGCAATAATTAGGACTTAGAAAATTTTTCTAAGTGTAACACACCATAGGGCCTTCGGGTGTTTGTAGTTCCATTGCTGTGTGGTGATTAGGTTGAGAACCCAATTCCTAGGACTTAGAAAAATTTCTAGGTGTAATTTTGCCCTCAGATGCCCTCAGCTGGTAGCCTCCTTCCTGATGTGTGAATATTGGACCGAGGGCCCAATGTACAGGACTTAGAAATTTTTTGCAAGTGTAGTACGTCATGTAGCCTTCGGATACTGTGGAGCCCCAATTGAAATGTTGATTAGGTCGGGGGTCAATTCTTTAGGACTTAGAAAATTTTCCTCAGTGTTGATTCCTTGTGCACTGTAGCCTTTGATTGATAGGTAGCCTTCGGCTATTAGGTCCCTTGAGATGAGGGTGAAATATGTAGGACTCAGAAAGATTTCTAAGTGTAGATTTTCCCTTGGGAGCCTTCGGGAAATGGCATCCCTTCTTGACGATATTTGTTTGAGTAGTATCCTTCGGGAGATAGGAGCCTTCAATTACCGGAGCTGTTCCCGTGGGGAGCCCTCGACATGTTGTGATCTGTTGGAGTGTACTCTTTGATTTCTCGCCGAGTCTACTCCCCTTCACCCCCCCCCCCTTTTTTTTTGGTTGGTGGTGAAGGGAAGGCATCAAGAAACTTGGTTTCTTGGTAAGGCTGGGCCTATCAGGAGACCATCAGAATACACCAATGGCTCTCCTCCCTCGGGTTAACCTTCCGAGTTCCGAGGGGATCGAGGGTCGTTTCCTGGGCACAAGATATGGTGGTCTGTAACCTGCCTCCCCTTGGGGGATGGCGCGGAAAGCGCCTCATTTTTGAAAGTCGTCCCCTCGGCGCTAGACATAGTCCGTGGCCTGCCACACCCTTGGGGCGGTGGCGCGGGGAGCGTTTCGGTTTGGAAGTCGAATCCTGGGCATTTCTCGTGCCTGTCATACCCTTGGGGTGATGACGCGGATAGCGTTCCGTTTTTGAAAGTCGAATCCTGGGCATTTCTCATGCCTGTCATACCCTGGGGGTAGTGACGCGGAAAGCGTTTCAAGGAAGGGTTTTCATTTGCACACTAGTTGCAAATGGCCGGGGGCACTACGTGCCGCCGGCACCGATGGTGGCGCCTTCGGTATATGCGTCCTCGTGGAGTGCGGCTTTTAGAAACAACACTTGGTGTTAGTTTCGATGTGTAGCCCCCGGTACTTGGTACCGAGGGGTCTTCTGTAGGAACACTTGGTGTTCTCTTTTGTTGTAGTTGATGGAGGTGTCTACCCTCGGTACTTGGTACCGAAGGGTCTTCAAATGAAACACTTGGTGTTTTGATTGGAGTGTTTGGTGCCGGAGGGCCCTCGGAGCAAACACTTGGTGTTTCCCGACAGATGTTTGGAAGTTGATAGGAGAGCATATCCCCGGCACTGGGTGCCGAGGGGTCTTCTTTGAAACATTTGGTGTTTTTCTTCGTTTTGATGTTGATGATGGAGGTGTACCCTTGGAACTGGGTGCCGAAGGGTCTTCTGTAGGAACACTTGGTGTTCTTATCTTTTCTTTTTTGATGTTGAAGGTGGGGATGTACCCTCGGCACTGGGTGCCGAAGGGAAATAAAACACATGGTGTTCCTTGTCGTTGGTGACAGGAGTTCCCACCCTCGGTACTTGGTACCGAGGGGTCTTGTTCGAAAACACATGGTGTTCTCCTGTTGTTGTAGGTGTTGATGGTGTCCGCCCTCGGCACTTGGTGCCGGAGGGGGTTCTTCTCGTGGTGAGGCCTGGGGCCTGTAGTCAGTATGAGGGCGTGGTGTCTTGAATGTGTCTTCATTCCTCAAAAGTGGAGGCCTTGGGCCATAGGATAGTACATTCATTAGTTATGAGGGCTTGGCCGCTCTTACATTATTGGTAAAATTTAACTAAATGGTGTACATTCCAGTGCCTAGGGACCTCTTTCCTGTTGGGGCGTTTGAGCTTGTAAGTCCCAGGTTTGATGATGGTTGCTATGATGTGCTGATGGGGGCATAGTTGACCGTTGGTCTGCCGGGGGCTTTCTGGAAATGTTGACATGCGGTGCACCTCCGGGCAAGGTCAGCACAATCTCTGGCCATGGTTGGCCAGAAGTAGCCCTGGAGAATGAGCCTTCGGGACATGGAGAAGGGTCCCTGGTGAGCTGAGCAAGTGCCACTGTGCACTTCCTCCATTGCGACCTCGGCTTCATCTTGATGAAGGCACCGAAGTAGCGTGCCATTGTACGATCGTTTGTAGAGCCTTCCATCTTCGATGGTGTAGCTAGGAGCCCTCAGCTTTGCCAGTTTAGCGCGGGTCTCATTCTCGGGTAGCTGCCCTGTGGAGATGAAGGCGGTGATATCTGAGATCCAATCCTCTTGGCGTTGTTGTACGTTCATAACGGGGCTTGTATGGATACTTGAGAGGCTGAGTTCCTCAATTTTGGCAATTTTGGAGATGTGCTCGGGGGAGTCGGCTGAGAGCTTAGATAATATGTCGGCCTCGGAGTTCTGAGCCCTCGGTATTTGAGTGAGAGAGTGCGCCTCAAATACCTTAAGCAACTCCTTGGCCGCCTCTTTGTACTGTTTCATTCTTCCTTCCTTGGCCTCATATTCCTCGGAGATTTGGCCAACGACCAACTTGGAGTCGCATTTGATGTGGATCTGTTGAGCCCTCATGTTGGCAGCCAGCCGAAGGCCACATAGGAGGGCCTCATATCCGGCCTCGTTGTTGGAGACTTTGAAGGAGAAGCGGATTGCATAGTAGGCTCTGAAGCCCTCTGGAGTAATGAGGACTACCCCTCCCCCGCATGCTTTGGTCGCGGAGGAGCCGTCGGTGTAGAGGGTCCACCAGTCGTCCGAGGTAACCGAGGGCTCCCCGTCCGTGGCTGCCCTTGCGGTACATTCCGTCACAAAGTCCGCCAGGGCTTGGCCCTTGATGGCAGGCCTTGGACGGATTTCAATGTTGTACTGGCTCAAGAAGATAGCCCATTTCACCATGTGGGAGGAGCTGGTGGGGCTCCTCATGAGGGCGCCGAGGGGTTGATGAGTGAGGACCTGAACCGGGTGAGCCTGAAAGTAGTGGCCCAACTTCTTGACGGTCCAAACGATGGCTAACACCGTCTTTTCCACAGGAGAGTACCTGAGCTCGGCCTCCCTTAGGGTCTTGCTAACGTAGAAGATGGCATGTTGGATGCCGTCTTCCTCCCGGATGAGCACAGAGCTGATGGCTGCCGGGGTGACCCCAAGGTAGAGGTAGAGGGTCTCCCCTACCTTGGGTTTGGAGAGCACGGGAGGTAAAGTTAGATATCTTTTGAGCTCGTCGAAAGCCTCCTGGCATTCTGAAGTCCATTGAAAACCAGCCGTCTTCCTCATGATTTGGAAGAAGGGTAAAGACTTCTCCGCTGATTTAGATAGAAAGCGGTTGAGGGCTGCCAGGCGGCCCGTCAACCGTTGAACTTCCTTCACATTGCGTGGGGGTTCCATGTCGATGATGGCCTGGATCTTCTCGGGATTGGCCTCAATACCCCTTCGGCTCACCATGTAGCCCAAGAATTTGCCCCCTTGGACACCGAAGGTGCACTTCTTCGGGTTTAGCCGAAGGTTGAACTTCTGCATGATGGCGAAGATTTCCCGGAGGTCGTCAGCATGGCTGGAAGATTGCTTGCTCTTGACGATCATGTCATCAACATAGGCCTCCATTGTGCGCCCTAGGACGGTCTGAAAGACTCGGGCCACCATCCGGGTGTAAGTGGCCCCTGAGTTCTTTAGGCCGAAGGCCATTACCAGGTAGCAGAAGATGCCCTCGGGAGTCATGAAGGCAGTTTTTTCGGCGTCTTCCTCGTGCATGAAAATTTGGTGATACCCTCGGAAGGCATCGAGGAAGGACATGATCTCACACCCTGCGGTCTCATCCACCAGTTGATCAATATTTGGTAGAGGGAATGGATCCATAGGGTACGCCTTGTTGAGATCGGTGTAGTCCACGCACATGCGGAAGGTAGGGGGCTTCTGTGCGAGGACTACATTCGCTAGCCATGAGGGATATTTCACCTCCTTGATGTGCTTAATGGAGAGGAGCATGTCGACCTCCTTCTTCACAAATTCCCTCCTTTCGGCGGAGAGGGGTCTTCTTCGTTGTTGTACTACTTTTGCCGAGGGGTCCATCGAGAGGCGGTGGGTGATGACCCTTCGGCTGATTCCCGGCATGTCCTCCGGCCCCCATGCAAAGACAGTGGAGTAGGCGCGGAGGGCGTCGGTGATACCGGTCTTCAGATCTTCAGGGAGCTGGGCTCCAATCTTCACGACTCTCTCCGGCTGGGCCAGATCGAGCGCAAAGTCTTCTACGTCCTCGGCCGGTTCAGCCCTCGGCCCTTTTTCTTCTTGGTCGATGGTTCCGGTGATGGTGTCAACACGGAATTCCGTCTTACTCACCTTCTTAGTTTAGTGACTTGAAGATAGCAGGCGCGGGCGATTTTCTGATTCCCCCGGGAGTAGCCAATGCCCCCCTCGGCAGGAAACTTGAGGCAGAGGTGCCTCATGGAGATTATGGCCTCGAGGTCCTCGAGGGCTGGCCGGCCGAGGATGATGTTGTGGGCGCAGTCAATGTTGACGACGACGAACTCCACTTCGAGCTGGGCTCTATGGAGCCCGTCGCCGAAGATCACCGGGAGGGTTATTACCCCCTCGGAATCAATAGTGTCGCCGGTGAAGCCGGCAAGAGGGGTCTTAATGGGCCGAAGGGACCCCCTCTCCAGATGCAGCTCTCTGAAGCTGCTGAGGTACATTACATTGACGGAGCTGCCCGTGTCAATGTAAGTTCGGTGAATGATGGTGTCGTTTATTTCAGTCCGA